GAAGTCCTGTAATGGCCTCCACTCCTCTGCCAGTCGTATGCCACGTGCCACAGGGGTTCGAGAAGCCTGGCAATACCCGCCAAGTGGAACTTCCCTTCATACAATGTCATGTGCAGATCTCTTGCAGATGTGCTGCAACAGTTCAGCCTCCCGAACCGGCTTGGACTTGGGATCTTGGGCTAGCAATGCCCTTTCCTGCAGCACGCTGGAGATTTTTACGTTGACTCCTCAAGCAGCAGGCGCTTTGGGCGGGAAGGATCAAAAATCTCTACCGCCTGGGTGTGCATGAGGCATCGTTGCATTCTTGCCTTGAACTTATGGCGCAGACGCGCATGCTTTGGCATTTTGATTCTTTTCGTGTACAGGGTTGGCGCTTTCAAGATCCATGGCACACTACCCGAGTCACCACACAGGAATGGGCGATTTCTGGTTTGCAATCATGGTAACTGTGGCTGTGGCGTTTAACGGATCACTCCATCCTCGTAGCCCGCCACTTGTGGACCCTCACCGAGAGGACGCCATCTTCAGACCCTCGAGGCCCCTATCCGAGTAACACACCCCGCAGTTGGGCGTCTGCTCCTGGTCCGCGCTTGGAGGACGCTTGGAGCGTTTGCAAGTTGAGGTCGGGGTGTACGCCACGCTACCAGCTTGAGTCTCTGCTCAGTACTCCGACTGCAAAAAAAAGCATCCTTGACCGGAAGCAGTCATGGCTTGAAGGCTCTTCAGCAGAACTCAGAGTGGCTCATAGCGACATCATGCGACATCCTTCTCAAAACCCCAGCCTCCTGAGCGGGGGGTGTCCGCGGCATTGCAGCCTGCAATTCATTGTGCTACGCACTTGCTACGCGCTTCCAAGCACAAACCTTCGTCCGCTATGGTCGGCACTGTTTTGACACTCTGGTGTCCGCTATTTCGCGAACCCCATGCCCGAGACACCCTGAAACTGGCCAACATTCACGAGCGGTTCAGGGTTTAGGCGTCATGGTTAGCCTACGTTGCAGACACTTCGACAAATGGTCGCAAACTGCGATGGTGCTGCTTCTGGCCAGATGCATTGTAAGACATAATTTGGTCAGTAAGACATAGGTCCCAAAGCAGAAACAAGAATCTTATAGCTCGTAAGCTGGCAGGGGCATCTCTCGTCATAGATGATGGTGAGTGGGCCTCGAAGCCTTAGCCCTAGCACGGAGGTGCGTTTAAAGTCCCCGGGTGACGGTATTTCTTCGAAGGATTTGCCTTCCCTCCTCTTGGCTATGACCGGAAATCAAACACCATCTTAATGTTATTGTTGCTGAGGCTGCTGCAGCGGCGGTGGTGGTGGTGGCGGGGGCGTTGGAGGGGGCGGCGGTGATTGGTGGTGGTAATGGTTTCGTAGCGGATCACGTGATTTTGTGCATTTGGGGGGCTTGAAAACACTGCCAGGCATGGCATATCGTGAACTAGGAGGGTTTGCCGTTGGCGGGCCAAAAAAGGTCATGCTCAGAAAG